CTTTGATTTATATTTAGTTTAATTTTTTTTTTTTTTTTGAAGTGTACTCTGCGTGCCGGCCACTGTGGGAGCCGTACACTATGAGAGGGTGAGCGGGGGAGTGCTTGAACTGGGAGAGGGAGAGGGTTCGCCGCCGAACGCGTCAGCCCGCGAGCCGCGAGCAATACGCCGGCGAGAAACTCCGCCAAAGCCGGGAGTCAGAGACCTCCGGCTCAACCAGACCAGGACAGACAATGCTCAACGTTGACCTCACCAAGCGCGTCAGCTCACGAGCTGAGAGCAATACGCCGGTGAGAGAACGCCTAAAGCAAAAACCGTCAGCACTCAACGAGTATCCACCAAGCACGTTAGCTCACGAGCCGTGAGCAATACGCCGGGAATAACACACAGCCACCGCTGCCGGGAGCCACACAACCTCCGGCTCGACCAGGCAGGATGATGACTCTGCTGACACAGGGCAGAAAGAGCTCTAGCAATCCAGGGAGGCTGCCAAAGACAGACACCCCGACTTACACAGGTAAGTGGACTCAAAGCTGTACACCTTCCTTCTCTTTCCTTACAACTCAATTCTGTTTTGTTTGTTTGTTTTTTTTTGCAATACGGACTGTGAGACACTGTACCCTGATGCACAAGTGGAGATCAAACAATCAGTGATTACACGCCAGCGCAGGCGCTTTATAGCTACGCAATGGGCCGTGGCCAGGCAAGCCGGTGTGTCTTAAAGAATTATCCACGTACCCAGGGGGGTCATACCCCGTACATATGGAATATGTAACGGAGTGGAGAGATAGTCTCGAGATGATAGAGAACATTTCATTGGTCAACAGTAAATCTGGCATTCTATTGGTTGGGGGATTTTGACAGGGATGTTACACAAAAAAATCCAAGCGCAGGGCAGAAATCTGAGAGCAGAAATTCCGCGAGCACACAGAAACAGTTTGAGCACGAGGAGAAAAGCCGAAGCTCGAGCAGGAAATCGGTGCAAGCAACATTGTATCTCAGTGTGAGCACACAGTTTGAGCAGAAACAGAGTAGATCCAAGAGCAAGCAGAGACTATTTGAGTGAGAAGGCAGGGTTTTTGAAAGTGAAATCAATAAATAATGCTCTCAAACTGATAGACCACTCTCTTGAATAAAGATAGGGATAAAGCTCCATAGTGTACTACCAAGACAACTGGAGTATGAATGTACAGTATGCAAGTCATCCACATTAAAATAATTGTTGCTATTAAAAGGAAATTGAACTGTTCTCAAAGCTCACTGCCACTGTGGAATCATGCTATGTTCAGCTGTCTCATTTTGAGAATATTTTTTTGCATTGGTTCTTCACAGACTGTATGTGGGGAAAAAAGTAGTAATTCTCACTATGATAAAGGGTCTTTGCATAAAATGCACTGAAATGTTAAAGTTGGTAAATACAAGTCATGTACATTAATTGATAAAATCTACATTTGGCCTTTTGCATCAGGGGAACACTAAACTGCACTGGTGTGTCAGTAATTTCACCTTATCAGTAACATTACAGAGCAAGCTGTGTCCTAATCGAGTACTTGGTAATGTATGAAAATTAGTAATGCATTTAACTGACTCTTTGTGAGGTACTGTATGAAAAAAGGTGTCTTTATCCTGGAGTCAGTGTTCACTGAACAGATGGGAAGTCTTGTTTGGAGTCCAGTTATGTCTTCTCGTGTTGAGTGTCCTCTGGTCCAGTCTGTCTGGGTCACCTAGAGGAAAACTTTACACAGACAAATAGATATTAAAAGTAATATATGTGTTAGGTTACCTACTTCACAGACTCCTTTACATGAAAACAGTACAACTTAAATTACTTCAATGTTCAACAGATCGTAATCAATTTATTTTAGCAAAGAAAAGGTGGTGGCTATCACAGTCCTCATATTCTGTCTGTGCATTATCTATTGTTGTGTAGCTACAGGCCTATCACTTATTTTCTTAATATTTTTCATGTGACAGTCAAATGTCACATTAGTTGTTTTTTTATTACATTACACACCTTATTGTAATTTCACACAGTTCACCACTTTTTAATTACATACACAACTATAGCCTTAATGTTACGTTAACGTTACACTGCTCATATGACACATTTAACGTTAACATTGCATAACGTTAGCTAACTAACGTGGTGGACCTTTATTTTCAAACCTCACATAGACGCCTTTTGTTCAAAATATTATCTCCCTAAATGCCTAAATCCTAACACTACTCTGTTATGTTCTGACTTCGATGCATCCCGGCTTGGCGTCTTGCTTGAAGGCTAACCATTAGCTGGTTAGTTAGCTAGTTAACAAACTAAGTTTGTGTTGTATTGTATTGTCTGTTGCTCTGTAACTTGATGTGGATGTTGCTGCTGTGATATACAGTCAGGTCCATAATTATTTGGACAATGATACAGTTGTCATCATTTTGGCTCTGTACAACACCACAATGGGTTTTAAAAGAAACAATGAATACATGCTTCAAGTGCAGACTCTCAGCTTTCATTTAAGGCTTTTTTCAAAAATGTAGTATGAACCGTGTAGGAATGACAACCATTTCTTCACACAGTCCCCCAACTTTAAGGGCTCATAAGTATTTGGACAAACTAACATAATCATCAATTAAACAGTCAGTTTTAATACTTGGTTGCAAATCCTTTACAGTCAATGACTGCCTGAAGTGTTGGACACATAGGCATCATCAGATGCTGGGTTTCTTCCCTGGTGATGCTCTGCCAGCCCTTTACTGCAGCCGTCTGCACTTCCTGCTTGTGTTTTGGGTGTTTTGCCCTCAGTTTTTGCTTCAGCAAGAGAAACGCATGCTCAATTGGATTCAGGTCAGATGATATGACTTGACCATTGCAGAACATTCCACTTCTTTGCCTTAAAAATGTCTTTGGTTGCTTTTGCAGTATGCTTCAGGTCAATGTCCATCTGCACTGTGAAGCATCGTCCAATGAGTTTTGAAGCATTTGGTTGAATCTGAGCAGATAATGTAGCCCCAAACACTTCAGCTCTCATCCTGCTGCTCTTGTAAGCAAGACAAGACTTCACTAGAATAAATACAGAGGGTTTATCACAAGATGCAAACCATTGGTTAGCCTTAAAAATGGAAGGCCAGATTAGAGTTTGTCAAAAACCATCTAAAAAGCCTGTACAGGTGTGGAACAGCATACTATGGACAGATAAAACAAAGATCAACTACCAGAATGATGGGAAGACAAGAGAAGGAAGAAGGGAAGGAACTGCTCATGATCCAACGCACACCACCTCATCAGTGAAGCATGGTGGAGGTACTGTTATGTCATGGCCATGTATGGCTGCCAGTGGAACTGGTTCTCTTGTATTTATTGATGATGTGACTGCTGACAAGAGCAGCAGGATGAAAGCTGAAGTGTTTGGGGCTACATTATCTGCTCAGATTCAACTAAATGCTTCAAAACTCATTAGACGATGCTTCACAGTGCAGTTGGATATTGACCTGAAGCATACTGCAAAAGCAACCAAAGACATTTTTAAGGCAAAGAAGTGGAATGTTCTGCAATGGCCAAGTCATATCATCTGACCTGAATCCAACTGAGCATGCGTTTCTCTTGCTGAAGCAAAAACTGAGGGCAAAACACCCAAAACACAAGCAGGAAGTGCAGACGGCTGCAGTAAAGGGCTGGCAGAGCATCACCAGGGAAGAAACCCAGCATCTGATGATGCCTATGTGTCCAACACTTCAGGCAGTCATTGACTGTAAAGGATTTGCAACCAAGTATTAAAACTGACTGTTTAATTGATGATTATGTTAGTTTGTCCAAATACTTATGAGCCCTTAAAGTAGGGGGACTGAGTGAAGAAATGGTTGTCATTCCTACACGGTTCATACTACATTTTTGAAAAAAGCCTTAAATGAAAGCTGAGAGTCTGCACTTTATGCAGGTATTCATTGTTTCATTTAAAACCCATTGTGGTGGTGTACAGAGCCAAAATGACGACAACTGTATCATTGTCCAAATAATTATGGACCTGACTGTAGGTCGCACTTGAAAATGAGACCTCTGGTCTCAATGTGATTTTACATGTCCTAAATAAAGGCTTAATAATAATAACTAGACCATACCCGGGGATGTGTTATGTATAAAGGAATAAGAAATCAAAAACAGTATATTAGAGGAGATGCAAAATGAGAGCACTGTAAATATACTGTGTAATGAATATTAATGTAAAACAAACAATGCACACTGTATTTAGAAACATGCTTTATGGCAAAATACATGGAGCATAGTTTTGGCTGACGGCACGGAGGCACACACGTGTGCAGGGCCGTGCGCCGGCACACAGGTACACACATACACACGCAACACGGAGAAAGAATGAAAGAAACAGTGCAAAGTGCACAGCGCAACACTGTTAGAAATTTATTGTATTTTTACAGGAAATTCCTGGCTAATAATTGCAGTAAATTTACAGTAAGCAATATACAGGACCTTTACTGTAAATTAACTACAATAAGGTACTGTACTTATACAGTATTGTACTGTAATTAATTACAATAAAATATTGAAAATTTACTGCAACTCAGTAGCCAGGAATATCTTGTAATTTTACAGGATAGAATATTGTAAATATTACAGTAAAATGTTGTATATTTACTGCAACTCAGTAGCCAGGAATTTCCTGTAAATTTCACAGGATAGAATATTGTAAATATTACGATTAAATGTTGTAACTTAGATAAACGTCTTCTTTCAGCCTTCTGCAACGTCTATAAACGTCTATAAAGCTGCCACACAAGGCTAATGACTAGCTAGCATGCTAGACATTACGGGCACTTCAGATTCATCTAGTTTTTCATCAAGTCATCAGATTCATCACATTCATCAAGTCTACATACACTATACAGAATACAATCTAAAATTACAACAACAACTGCTCTCGAAACAACCTTGTTTACATCCAGGACATGTTCACTTCAACTAACATGGAAAAACACGTGTATACAACTATGGCAACATAACAACAACCAAAAATTAGGCTACAACTCAGCTAGTTCTTGGTACAAAAAAATACATCAGTCCTTCACAACAGGCCTTATTGCCTGGTTTCACTGTGAAAACATAACCATTTCAAAGCAACATAGATTCAGAACATGGGTCCACTTAATCCTAATAAACAAAAATAGATGCAACCCCACCCAGCAGCCTGACAAACACATACTTCCCCATCAACTCGAAGTCCAGCAGTTTCCTTAAGAGCGTGCACACAGGTGCATTGAGACCACGTTTTTTCTCTGCCTTGCTGCCCGTCAGAGGATTGATTCCACAAAAGGCTCTGAAAACAGAAAAAAGAACATACACTAATGACACATTAAGGAATCTATGAATGTACTTTCATTAAGTGTTTTTCAATAAATTGCCATTTTTAGCATTAGGTTAGGATTAGGGTGGGGGGCTGGTTAATGTTAAAGGGGCACTGTCACGCTAGGTTATCTTTTTTTTTTTTTTTTTTTTTACTTATATTTTTTGGGCATTTTAGCCTTTATTAGATAGGATAGTGAAGATAGAGACAGGAAATGTGGGAGAGAGAGGTAGGGGAAGACATGCAGCAAAGGGTGAAGGTCAGATTCGAACCTGTGCCGCTGCGGAAAGCCCTTGGCTTTATAGGGTACACGCCTAACTCGGTGAGCCACTTGGGCTTTGTATAATCCCTGTCAGTGGAGCTCTATCCTATAAAAAAAAGGGCATTTTCTTCGGCCAAAACCAGTCCAGTGGACTCCCTGTTTTTCCGAGGCGAAGTTGCTCAAAACTCACAGGAAACAGGCTAGAAAACCAATCCACGGTTGTGTGTGTGTGTGTGTGGAGTATATTCAGTAACACAGCATGAAGATTACCATGTCAATACTAACACTTACACACATACACAAAGACAAGCACACATTCATAAACACGCGCGCACACACACATCACACGCATGCGCGCGCATGCTGACAAATGTGAAGCAAGGGAGGGGGACAGGAGGGATAGAAATTGAGAGGTAGAAAGGGAGAGAGAGAGAGAGAGAGAGAGTCATGGTTATGACAGTTTAATGACAGTGTCATGTTTAAACAGTTTAAACATACCTCTGGATAAATTCAAGAGTGCTTGAGGCCTCTGCAGGGTACTGTAGGTTGAAAACGTAATAGGCAGTGAAGAGCGCTGCCACTCCGTTCAGAAGGTTGCTGTGGGGCCCCATCACGCATGTTCCTTCCATGGACATCAACCACATGTCTGTGCTCAATGTCTCTCCTGAAACACATTAACACAAGATAATCACTAAAAGCTGCACGACATACAAACACAAACACACACACACACACTGGACACACAATCCTGGACTGGACAACCCGCTCTACCTCCTGAGCCACTCAGCCACCTGACACATCCATGTAACAACTTATAAACCTCAACAACTTATAAACCTCAACAAAATAAGGGAAGATTATACCTTGCGCAAGTAAGCGAGGGCTGGGCAGGGTGATAGCTCTCTGTATGTCAGCAGCTGTGGCAGAGGGCTGGAGAAAAAAAAACATAAACATATTAAAAAAGATATTACAAGTTGTCTCCACATAGACTTATTATTATTAGCCTATAGCCCACAGCCATTCTGCCATGTATGGGTAAGTTAAGTAAAAAACAAAGAAAACTTGGTCCAGAGACTGTCATGTTCCACTCAACACACCAAAGGGAAAAAATCTGTTTAAATGTCTGATGCTAACGTAGAGCCAATAGCTGTGCATGGCTATTGTTTTTAAGATATGAATGTTATGGTTATTTAAACGGTAAAAGGAAAGACACAGCAGGAAACAAAGGATAAAGTATACTACCAAGGACAAACTGTTACCCCCCCCCCAATTGTGTAACAGGAACACAATGGTACTGCATGAGCAATTTACAAAATAACTGGAGAGAGTGACAGAATGAGGGAGGGAGAGTATGTATGTGCGATTTATACTCACATCAGCTGTAAGGAAGATACCATCCTCCTTGAAGTGAGCAAGCAGACACAAGATGATACAGATTGCCTTGTTGCCATTCTCTTCTTGATAGGCTTCCAAAACCTTCCCCACCCCTGGTGTCTTCTGTTGCTGACAGTAGTCCATTATGGTCTGGCTTCTTTGGTCGATGGCTACTGGTAGCTTCTCCAGGATGGAAATGCCGGTCAGCTCACTGAAGTGGGAGAAGAGGCCCTTTTGGGAGAAGAGAAATGGCCAGTCGTCCTTGATTTTGGAGATGCTGTACGAAGGGTCAGCATTCAGCTCATGCCGCTGGAGAATGTAGGTCATTTCATGCCATCTCTGGAGTGCTCCTCTCTCTGCTCCTGCCATTCCAACCTGGGCATAAAGCTGCTGCATCTCTCTTTTCATCTCTAGTAAGCTTTCTTCTGTCTCCCCAGAGGGAAGTTCTTCAGGTGACCAGCGGACACATCCATACTGTTCCACGGGACCTCTTCCATGCGCCCTCACTCCTGGAATGGAGGGCCTGGTCTTAAGGACCCGTGCGAGGGTGTTGTTTCTGTTCACATGTTCGATTCTCGTTTGACTTGTTGTACAAGAGATGCCCCAGCTACACCATCATCATCATCCACGTCCACAAAGCATTTCGGGTACTTCTGAACTATATCGTTGACAACTTTCACACAGATCGCTCTTTTGGGGTTTGGATTATGCTTTCTCATCTGATCAGCCAGACATCTGATCATTGCTCTTCTTGCTGCTGGATTTGGTCTAGTTGAATTTGCGATAGCTGACCGGATCTCTTGTGGCATCTTCTCCCAGTTTACTCTGAAATTTGAAGGCCATGGTGTGCGTGGTGAGAGCAGAAGTCTTGGGTTGGATGTTCTGGATGCCTCTGGGGGGGACACGGTTGAGGAGGTTTCTTGACTTCCCGGGGGGTACAGGGTTGATGAGAGTTGTGGAGAACCAGGGGGAGACAGGACTGATGAGTGACCTGAACAAAAATGTTAACCATTAGAACTCTGTAATCCAGACAGACACAGTGGTCTATTTCAACACCCATCGTCATATGTTCTATCAAACAAAGCCATTCATTTTCCCTTTATTTCAACCTTCTGTGGCACTAGTCTGTACTCGTACAGCACTGTAGAACTTAGAGGAAGCTGGGACCAGGGTGTAGGCTCATAGGAGCAGTTTATGACTAGCTAAAGAATGGTAAGAGATGAACTGCTGGCTTGCTTTATATAAAGCTGTTAGTAAATATACACACATAGAACTTGACAGATAGAAATATGAATCTCAAAATAATAAAGCAAAAAAAAAAAAAAAAAAGTTGAATCCTTTTCTTTGATTCAAACCTTAGATATACGTATTACATTGTACTCTGAAATACCTGGTTGGTCAATTGTTGGTAGGTTTGCCATGTAATAAGCAGGATAATGACCACGTACCCACACGTTATCCCGCTTATTACATGGCAAACTTACCAACAACAAAATAACAAATGCGTCCCTTTTTAGCTCAGGATTGCCCTCTCCCCCTCCTAGCAACATTTGTCTCCCATTGAAAGTCTATTGGTTATTTGGTTGCCCCTGACAGTGGTCATTATTTATCCACAGCAGTCATTATCGAGAAATAAAAGACCTGTACAATGCATGATTGACCAATCAGACTCAAGCATTTCAGAGTGCCATGTAATTCCGGTATAAAGTTCTGGTATAGCCTAAAGTCTCTTTTGGTCTCACCTCAACAGGCAACACACATCAGTCTCACATATACCTTCAATAAAATAAAATACAAAGTTCGAAAAGAACAACTAAAAACACCATCTGTATAAATCCTCCTGAAGCATCGCCTAAAATGGTGGCGCAGTACACCTGTTACACTAATGTACCGCACTAGGCTAATGTAACCAATGGCAAGTAGCACAATGCTTTTTGCTTCAGTTTACATAGTTAAAGAGAACTAGTAATCAGCGCCTCACTTTTTTCAAGGAAAGTACCTTATAAAAATAAAAACAAAATCAACATTTACTGCCATTATAAACTGCCATTTTAACTCCATTTATATCAATTTACTTTCAACAGTATTTATTTAATAACTATGAATTCCTTTATGTATTTCTGCCTGTTTACATGAACAGAAGACTATCTTAATTGTCTCTTTTACATGTAGGCTATTTTAATGGTGCCATCTACTGGTGGCTTTGGGATTTTGTAAACCATCACAAAAAAAGGACCTGTGGTGAATTTCAGACCTGTAGGACCAAAATGGCAGTCATTTGAAAATTGAAAAAGTCCATCAGTTGAACCAGGGCGGTACAAGGGTTAACCTAGGTTATACTTGCATGAAACAGTAAAATCTAGTATTCTCTGGTAGAATAATGCTGGCTAACAGGACTAGATTATGCCATTTCTAGCTACAAAAAGCATCAAAACAAGCCAAAAGTATGGTATTTAGAAATGATAGATTTCATAGAAGAATGTCCATTGAATGGAAAGAATATCCTGGCTGGAGTTCACTCTGTCTCCCACAATGTCACTGAATAGGTAAGAAAAATGCATAACCTACTCCAAGCTATGACCACTCATATCATGCTCTGTATTTTATTACTGCCATTATTAACTAGCATTTAAACTCTATCTGAATTTATATGAATTACCCCCCAACACTATTCATTTATTTATTAACTGTGAATTCCTTTATGTAATTCTGTGTTTACATGTAGGCTATTTTAACTCTTTTACATGTTACAACTATTTTAAAATAGGTTACACTTGCATGAAACAGTAAAATCTATAGTATTTTGTATCTTTGTACAGCTTTACGAAGAATTCAGATAAAAGGACATTAGGACAACAATAAATCAGTAACAAGTTTTACCTTCTGAAGCAAAGGCACGGATAAACCTTCTGCACTGGACTAAACAGAGATAGCTCAGAAGATCATCTTCCTTCAAGAAACAGAGGTCCTCTTTGCTCTGCACACCAAGGCACTCCAGGCCAGCCATCAAGGATCTTGAAGTGTCTGTGGGGAGCTCTGGAAGAGCAGCAAGGACAACCCTGCTGATCTCTTCTGCTGCCGCCATTAGTGCGTCTCTGCAAAGGAGTGGTGGAGACAGATTATTGGAATATCACCTATTTTATAGGCTGGCAAAGGATAATAATCAAGCAGATCATCATGCATCACACAAACAAACTGCTCTTGGGGTGTCCCTAATATACAATAGACCCCAATGTCCCTCAACTTTACGAACAAATATTTTTCTGAGACAAAGGACACAGAGCCATGGTGAACAATGACCAGCTTTATCTTGCCAACCTCCAATTCTTCCTCAGTTTTCCCCAACAAAATATACATGCCCTTTTTGTATGAAGTGCCCTTCATTGTCACTGTATGAGATGCTACTGTATCTTTAGATTCCAAATTCAAAGCAAAAACAGCATTTCGGATTTTGTCACTGTAGTCATTTACGTAAAATGCTATGCCTTTATCAAACATCACACTTGGCTGAAACATTTCACCTGCACTTAAGTAGGCCTGGAAGAGCTGGTGTCTCTCTGCAACTGTCTTGCAGATGTTTTTGAAATTCTGCAACTTTCTAGCACATCTTTTGAAGAAAGCGTGCTTACTCTCAAACCTGAGAGTTCAAAGGCGAATTAACGGACCAAAGTGGGTAATGAGCTCTGGATAATGAAGTAAATAGTGGTGTTTAGGTTTCAGGGGCTCATTGGGAAAGAGCTGCCTTCGAAAGTGGATATACTCCTCGATAAGTATTTAAAGATAAGCAACCTGATCTGTAGTGATTGCTGGTGCACAAATTAGTTCTACAATTTCTCTGAACTGCAGCACAAGTTGCCAAACAGCATTGTGACATGGATCCTTAATCCTATCTCCCACCAGGAGAGGGAGCAAACGAAGAAAGCACCAGTTTTGGACTGCATGTCCACTGAGTCTTTTGCTACCTGGTGAAACATCAGCTGGTTGGTCTTGGGCATCATTTCCCTGATACTTGAACTGATCTTTGCGCCTGTTGAGATGTATATAACTGAAATGTTTCTCTTCAATTAAATGACCAATAAATAAAGCAAGGTCACTGGAAACAATTCCTTCAAACAGGTCATGGCCAAGACACGGAGGCAGCCCAGGCTGGCAAACATGAAAGGATAGTTGATTAAAAGGAGAGTCTGACTTGATACCGCATTCAGAATTTGTGTCACTGTGTAATTCTTGCAGATGATTCTGAAAGGACTGTTCAGTTCGTTTGTTGCCACATGATAGTGGAGAGTTCTCAAAAGTAATTCTTTTTATTTCACAGTACCTACAAAAGTAATGGCTCATACTGAAGTTCTCAACGAAACCGCCAATACTGTGAGACCCCAAATTGTCACCTGAAATAGCACACAGTCGAGCTCTGACAGTTTGCCCATTATGTATCTCAATGCCAGTCTCCTCAAGAGCTTTAAGGTCTGTTATGAGAGGCTCAAATACCTTGTCCATCCCAAAATATTTGAAGTCCTGTTCCTTACACAAGAGAACAAGCTGCATTTGATCTACGGATGATCTGTTATGAGGCAAAATATCTGTCAGAGTGAGATATACTGCTAAAATCTTGTGTTTCTTTTTTGAAGAACCAAGTGGATTGACCACTTCGAATGCATCCTGATAGAGTATCAGACCAAGAGAGGATGGTTCCGCTTTAAATAAAGGGTTGCACTGAGCTCCCTTCCTATCATTAACATCCTGGAAAAGACCCTCTGATAGTGGTTGGGAACGTGTTGCTGCATACTGTTCCTGCATAGACTTGCTTTTAAAAAGTACAGCCAATGTTTCTTTAATAGGTATATACTGGGCAAATGATTCCTTACCTTTATCATCAATACCTAAAAACAGAGGCACAGGCTCAACATAATTAAAATGTTTTTTAAAAGCTGTCTTTCTTTTCTGGTCTGTGCTCAAAGGTCCACTGTTACAGGCTGTGAGGAGGTCATCTTTTCTGATTTCATCCATAATGTTACTGATTGTGGCCTCTGGGATTCCAAGGACAGTTAGTTTCTCACTTATATTACGAAGCAGATTTGTCAGACTGATATCATGGACATCTTGATATCCCTCAATAATAGTTTGTATTGTAGTAGCAGGCAACAGTAGTTTAGCCTGAAGTTTAAGATAGAAAAGTGTGATATTTTGACGAAAGAGGGATTCGTCAATGGCAAGAGGCACTTCCTGCTCATCATCAGAATGATTAGATGGTTCACACTGGCTCACTGATTGACTGGCAACAGGTCTTTCTACATTAGAGGGATCTACATGTTCAACACTGTCATTGTTGTGCTTTCTAGAAATATGGGATGCAAAACTTGACATAATAGAGAACTTTCTATCACATCCCCTAAATGGGCATTCAACTTGTAATCCTTCTCGCAAATGTGACCTCAAGTGACAAACTAGTAAAGATGATGTTTCACACCTGACAGCACAAAAGTCACATTGCATAGGAGTATCACATGATGGTTGCTGCTGACCACTCCTCAAAGGTCCATCTTTGTGGTCTCTGTACATGTGAGCCTTAAGAACAGTACATTTAGAGTACATTCTTGGGCAATCAGGCACACCACACTGATACCTGTAATTAGCGCTATTACTATGCAACTTAATGTGCTGAGTAAACTCACAAACTGTATCAAAAACATTTTCACATGTGCTAAACTTGGAATGAAACATTTTTTAGACTGTAGGAAACCTAGGCTACTGAAGAGGAAGAAGAAGATATATATGATATGAATAATTTATTATTACTGTATTTATGCTCTAAACTGCAGCCAAGTGGGGGAATCGTGAATACTACTGACAGTAGCTAACGCGACCTTCTCAGAAGACAGAGAGCGAATATAAACGGCAGCCAACAAGGGCAGAAAGATAGTTTGCTGACTGAATCTGACTGGCTACCTAGTAGGCTGGTTAACAGAGCTCACCCTCACACCACGTGGTGGT